GTTGAACATGATTGTAAACCTGAGACTGGGGCAGGAAGAGAACACAACAGAAGGTAGTAAAAGAGGAGGCAACGTCTCAATCAGAGTGCAGGCGAGCTGGTGTAAGTTGAACATGATTGTAAACCTGAGACTGGGGCAGGAAGAGAACACAACAGAAGGTAGTAAAAGAGGAGGCAACGTCTAAACTGGTGTAAGTTGAACATGATTGTAAACCTGAGACTGGGGCAGGAAGAGAACACAACAGAAGGTAGTAAAAGAGGAGGCAACGTCTAAACTGGTGTAAGTTGAACATGATTGTAAACCTGAGACTGGGGCAGGAAGAGAACACAACAGAAGGTAGTAAAAGAGGAGGCAACGTCTCAATGGTGTAATTAGAACATGATTGTAAACCTGAGACTGGGGCAGGAAGAGAACACAACAGAAGGTAGTAAAAGAGGAGGCAACATCTCCATGGTGTAAGTTGAACATGATTGTAAACCTGAGACTGGGGCAGGAAGAGAACACAACAGAAGGTAGTAAAAGAGGAGGCAACGTCTCAATGGTGTAAGTTGAACATGATTGTAAACCTGAGACTGGGGCAGGAAGAGAACACAACAGTAGGTAGTAAAAGATGAGGCAACATCTCAATTGAGACGTTGCCTCCTCTTTTACTACCTTCTGTTGAGTTCTCTTCCTGCCCCATTCTCAGGTTTACAATCATGTTCAGCCTAGTTTATTCTTGCGGTAAAAAGAAACCCTGTGTTTTTTTTATTTTCTGACACCCTGCAAGTTGCTTAAATTATGCGTAAAAGCTATCAACAGACCCAGAATCTTTGCATGGTCAGTCATTGCATTTATCACCGAATTGGTATTAAAATAATAATTATTCTTTATGGCTGTGAGTTTATTTTTAACCTCGGCATTTTTTATTATGACCCCCGCACCAGTCCTACTTTGGGTTTACTAAACTCAACATCTAAACCTGAGTGTCATTTTTCGTGTTTTCCAGTCTCGTGGTTTGGGTCAAAATAAACGCCCAGCTACCTAAATGAGACACCTGACCGCCCAAAAAATAGTCTTTTCTTTTAGGTAGTTAATTCGTCAAGCTAGAATTTTGGAAACCAAACTATGACGTCATCACATTTTGCTGGAAATCCACAAAGATCCAAACACATGCACGATAAAAGGGCCGGCCCGTCATATTGCCGCCCGCAGAGCCGAGAAAGCGACGCTCGGTAACGGACTTCTAGAAGATTCGCGTTCATTCTTGCACCAGACGGAATTTTCGCCCTATTTTTTTGTCCTCGAAAGTGCCAGTTCATCCTCGCCCCGAACGCGCGACGCTCGAACCTTCTTTACGGAACTTTTGAGATGGTGACGTGACGCACTCTAGATAAGCAGCTATCCCGCGACCTTGTCGAGTCAGTCTCGCTCTCGCTCTTTGTTACGCTGCCGAATCGCCGCCTGTTTTCTGCTGCCTCGACGCTCTTTGTTTAGTTTTTTTTTGTTTGGAACAAGTTCGCCGATTAAGGCTGCGGTCCCACGGCAGCCATTTTGAACTAGGCGTTAGTTCAACCACTAGATGGCGACACGCACACGTGGGGTGGCCGAAATATTGGTTCACCGTGGGATGGCTCGAGCACCATCACGTTCCCCTCGTGGCCTTGCTCGCGCCGCTGCCAGCTGTGTACAGCTAGCTCAAGTAGCGTGGCCCAGCAAACGAATGTATGCGAGAATGTCAGGCTGGGTATAAATTGTTCTCTGATATAGGGAGATGCGGTTCCCCGGCTGTAACGGGCTTTCGCAATAAGTCTTACCAAGAAGGAATCAAATGTTGATTGACGAGTCAATATTCATTCAAACAAATTTTTTTCTGCAGGAATGCACGCTCAGTGGACTCAATCTTCCAAGACACCAGTGGAAGTGGACGTCAAGTGAACTGCTTCATGATTTACGGTACTTACCTCACCATTTTAATGACGACTAAAATAACGTCACGAAATATTGTGGTTCAGGAGGTCCGGAAGATGTTGTAAAGGTTTCCGGGAACATTATAGTTCCCAGAAAACAAACACCGTTGCAATATTTTGGGAAGTACCGACACGCATAATGTTGTAAGTGGTGGAATTTGATGAAAACCATCAGAAGAAATAGGTAGACGTTTATTTGCAATGAAGACGCTATGAATGAACGGCGTTTAGCGACGGCAAGTTATGAGCGTTCGGGAATTTATAAGTTCACGTGATTGCTAACTATGGACATGCGGACAATGAAGACCAGTTTTGTCGAGAGATGGTGTTGCGGTGATGACCTGATATCGGACGACTCGTGGCAGGCGAAGAAGCAAGCTTCTTCTTAGCGAACGGTAAGTGTCCACTGTCAAGCACAACACGTGGCTACCGACGATGTCGATGTTTCGAACACTTACCGCTTTCGACAAAAGTCCTTGCACCTGGGCTAACTTTCTGGAAAGACTCGAAGTCTTCCTTGAAGCCAACGCCATCATGAACAGTAACTGAAAACGATCCACTATTCAGTCGGTGGGTGGCGAAACGTATCCACATCTGCGGAGTCATGGGCGATGCGTACTCTTAGTGGCTGGAAGTTTACACGATGCCTGCCACGACGTCCTAACACGTCATTGACGTTCTACGATCTCCTTTACCTACTTTTGCCCTGCCGAATATACTTTTCTCTGATAACGCGCCAAATCTTGCTTTAAATAAAATAAATAAGTTTTTGAAGAAAAAAAAAAACCGGCATCAGGCATCACATTAGTGCGCTATACCATCCTGCAACTAACGGGCAAGCGGAACAGATAGTGTGCGAAACGAAAAAAAGCCCTTTTGAAGCTTGCGGAAGAAGCAGTTCAGTGAAGAATCGCCAAGTTCTTGTTCCGGCAGCACGCGTCGGTCTCATCTTACACGGAAAAAAACCCGCCGAACCAATATTCGGCGGACGAAGAGCCACACCCCTCGATCTCATGATACTATGGCTTACGAACAAAGATCGAGAGATACCCACATCGGGAGTAATGGCAGTTTATTCGGTTGGACAACTCGTCTACGTGAGGAATTTCAGCGGAAGTCTGGCCTTCCATGTAAAACTTGAGTAAAAAAGGCTCTATGTTGGTTGACCAGGAGGTGTCATCTTTCTGAATACGTCGGATATCAATGCCCTTAAGTCGAAATATAACTAAATCACAAAACTTTCTTTGTGTATTGTGTAATTGCCCTTGTATTTGATAGTAGAAGCTATGGTGGTGATCTGGACCTTTCACACGAGGCTCCTTTTTCTTATTTTTCGCCTCATACTCCTTTGCGGTGTAAGTATCCTTCAAGAATCTTTTGGAACGGGCACACTTTACGTCAGCGAGGCCATTTGTTCCAACTAGTCAATCAGGGAATGCTGCTAGAAATCCGTCCCTCATATTAACGAATAAACCGCACTTCTGCACGGTGCAGTTTTCCTGTCCCACGTACAGTTGTAAAGCAGCATCCTCATTAGGGAGTTTTAGAATAGCGCACGCTAGAGCTGCTAGAGCTTTGCGCACGCAAAGAATAGCGTCGTCGCCACTGCGCATGCTCCGAACGCAAACCAGGTTTTGCGCTTTGCGTGCGCAATTTTAGCGTGCGCTATTTCTCGGAAATAGCGTGCGTACGCAAAGAGTTTTTGCGCTTCTCCAATGAGGATTCGCGATGACAAGTTGGCTAAAGCAAAGACGAGCACAGTTAAAAAAATGGCGGGTTGCAGGATTATGTCGGCGGCTGCTTTGGCGGCGTCGTGAGTGCGACGTCGGCGGCATCTCGCGACTGGGGTTTTCAATACGGGACGACTTTGTACTCGGTTTGGCAACGATCACCGGCAACTTGATGCTTGCGACACGCGAACATTTCTCGGCGAAGGTACGATGTGCGATGGTCAGTACACGAGACCTCTCTTGCCGAGGCGACGCAAGCGGACATGATCGGTCAACCGCTCGCGTCGCATTCTCATGTTTAAACAAATCTAAAATTCTAGTCTGGACAAGGAAACTTTTTTTTCTGAAGTGACAGCATTTTATGTGTGATATAAAAATTGTTACCTTATCTTGGTGGCGTTGCAAGCGCGGGATGCTTGGGCTTTTGCGTCGCGACCGTCGCGACAGAGAAACGCTATTCTAAAACTCTCTTGCGTCGCGTGCGCCAATACAAGCGCTAAATTTAGCGCTAGCGTGCGCTAAAATTACGTACGTTATTCTAAAACTCCCTAATGATTCTACCATATACTGTTGCGGGTGAAAAAAGTCTTTGGGTACACGATACTTGAAACAAGTCTGGCACTGTACGTTGTGGTTCGACACCCACTAATGTCGTCGTCCTTATAGAGCCTCATCATTTAATCATTACGTCGACACCTTATATTGCTCTTCATCAACAGTAAGTACAATAGGCTACCGCCACATTACAATTCAAGAATTGAAAAATTTAGTCGTTCAGTCCTTCAACAAGTTTATTATTTATATAGTGTTATTACGTTACATTACCTCGAGACGATCGACGTCCATTGTCTATCTTCAAATACTTATACCTGTGTATAAATTAGACGCACAAAGGGGGGGGGGGGGGGGGGGGGGTCGGAGGCAGAGTGCATGGTCTAGCGCACACCAGCTCGGAGCACTTGGAGCGAATGCTCGCGCTGCAGAACCCACCCCGCCCCTGCCCGTTTCGATCTAGAAGAGCATCGTACCGGCGTGCGGTCGTGTATCACTACTGCGAATGTCAGACGCTACGCGCGGGTACACAGCCCAGAGCCTCGGCAATTTTCGCCCAAGTGATAAGGGCTGTAAAGGCGCATAAAAGCAGCCGTAGCACTCCACTTCGGGTCAGTCACCCTTCCGTTGCTGTCGAAGTATGAATGGCTATCTTTCATTTTAGTTTCAGGCACGAGTCCGCCCTATAAAATATATTTTTTATTTTGTTTTTACATTCGTTTACTTCTTTTAAAATTTGTGGTAGCATATAAAGAAGCGTCGGGTGCACCTAAAGCTTATTATCGTCGTTCCGTCGACCCTGGTGGGGCTTGGGCGGTGGAGGGTTCCAGAGCTTGGCGTAAGCGTTGGCACCCAGGACCCCTCGGAGTCCCAGGCCGTGGCCAATGGCGACGTCGGCGCAGTTTCGGTACGTCTCCTGGGGACCGCAACCGAGTCCCGAGGTGCCGTCCTCGCAGTCGCCCCAGTTGTTCGCTGCAATGAACGAACAGAGGCTTAGGGCGCAGCTTCCCTCGACACTGTAGCGCGCTGTTTCCGAACAAACCCGCGCCTGCCCACACCAGGCGTGGGCACTGAACAAACCATAAACTTCCGGTGGGGCGTCTGCCGCTGCGCGGGGTCGACAGCAGCGCCACCCTAGCGGCGTGACGTTGAAACCACGCATTGCGGTCATATAGGAGGCTCTGTTTCGGAGTACAGTGTCATTGCAGGAACAATGAACAAATTAGGGCTGCCGTGTTTTTTTTTTTTTTCTTTTCAGGTGACGTTGAGTAGGCGAGGCAGCTTTCCAAACATGCGGACGTCGTCTAATCCTGTCGTTTTCATACTGCAGGTGGTCAGTCGTCATTGCTACTCGAAATTAAAAAGCCGCTATTTGTGTCTCGTAGTGTTGCCTCGCCCAGAAGCATTGTGTCTGTGTTTCCGACTCTGTTGATGAATTGTGTTTCCGACTGTGTTAATGCATTGTCTTCTTTGATTCTGCTTTTGCGCGCCGATATTGAGCCTAACGCGGGACCTAAGACAGAGTGCCAAGGCAAGGAGCTCGACGAAAGGCTCAAGTTTCTCCATGAAGTGAATGCTCGTAGTCTTAAGTTTGAGGAGGGGCGAATAGTCTGATGGCATCAGTAAGCGAGATAAAAGCCACCAACAATAGATTGAAAAACAACTCGTTGCAGTAAACACTAGACTTACAGTTGTTGACAGCAACGTCTTAATGTCCCACGAGTGGCAGAATCAACTGCGGGCAGCACAGATGATCGCCAATGACACAAAGAAAAAAAATACGCTCCTACGGGCCCGAGTGGATGAGACAGGTCGAGACGGGGCAACTTTATATTCGATGAAGTCATTGACACTCTATCTGAAACATGGGCTTTATCCCAAGAAAAAGTACGGGAGGTGCTCCATTGGGAAACTAACATGCAGATTGCTGAAGACGGCATAGCTCGGGCTCATAGACTCGGCGCCTTTGTCACAGACAATTTTCGCCCAATAGTCGTTAAATTTGCATTTTACAGGCTTCGAGAAAACGTGCTGGCAGTTCGATCAAAATTAAAGGGCAGTAGTGTGTCTGTCTGCGAGTACTTTTCGCCAGCTGAGCGTCACGCGCGAAAACGTTTGATTGAATTTGCGAAGGCTGGAAGCCCGGACAAGTAATTTAGCTTACATTAGAATAAACTTCACCCCGATAAAATATTTAATGCGCTGCTCAGACAGTGACAGCGTGATTGAAGTTGGTAATCATGTTGTACCACGGAAAGCAAATGCTGAAAATAGCGCGGCTACTGGGTCAGTGCCTTCTGCTAGCCCCCCATATCAAACAACAAATAGGCAAAGTCGACAAAGGCCTTGTCAGTCATTCGACAAGGTTTGAATGCTTTTGGCCAATGTATGAAGTGTCATGAACAAGCGTTATAAATTGTGCGCGACTGTTGACTCTTCTTCGTCGGATATCGAAGTATTAACTGAAACTTGGCTTTCGTCTCAAATCCGTGACAGTGAGATATTTGCTTGCGAAAAAAGTTTAATATTTACCGATACGACAGGGAGTATAGGCTACGTTTACATGAATGCGATCGCAGCGCATCGAATCGAGGAGCGACCAATGACACGCAGCCTGTCTTCTCACTTCTTCCTCTTCTACCCAACTGCTACCAATCAGAATCGTGGAATCTCGACTCGATGCGCTACGGTCGCATCCATGTAAATGCAGCCATAGATCGGGAGTATTGATAAGAATTAACGAGAATATTGAATCATTCCACGTAAATATTCTTACTGGGCTTGCGTTTAACTGTGTTTGCTTCCAAGCGGGGAATAGACGAATTGTACGTTGGGCTTGTTATAGACCACCTAACTATTCCACTGGCTTTGTCAATGCCTTACATGAGGTGCTAAATATGGTTACTGGAAGATTCCCGGATTCTCCAATATTTTTGTTAGGCGATTTTAATTATTCGAATATTGATTGCTCGGATACGTACCCTTCTCTCAATTGACATTCTTCGGAGTGTTCAAATTCCTTAAGGTTGTGCGCTTATTTCATTCTTTTACAACTCGTCACTGAACATACACGAGTCACAGCTAAGTCAGCCAATATCCTTGATCTTGTTTTAACTAGTGCACCGGATCTTGTTTTTTTAGTAACTCATTTACCAAACCTCAGTGATCACAGTTCATTATACATATCTCTTACGGTTCCTAAGCACAACCCCTCTAAAGTGACTAAACGCATTCGCGACTATAGCAAAGCGAACTTTGAAGCTATTGATAACCACTTAGCCCTCCCTCTATATGTCTTTATGAATAACTTTTCTGAACGCATCATTTAGGAGAACTTGACCTTGTTTAAGAATCAAGTGGCGCTTCTCACGGATGAATTGATTCCTCTCTGTTAGATATAAGATCACACACTCATTCACCCTGCCTTAATGTGACACTAAAAAGGCTCTCTAACAAAAAACAAAATATTGTTTCGCTCTGCAAATGCCACAGGCTGCTCGAAACTTCGGTAGGCTCATCAGAACATGCATACAAATCTGCTATTCACAATGCGAAGCTTGTGTATTTTAATCCGACTTCGCCGAATATGTTGTCTAATAATCCTAAGCCGTTTTGGAACATTATTGGTGATAACAATTCGAACGAAATCTCAATAAGGGTGGATGATTGTTTTATACCTAGTTATGACTGTGCTGAAAATTTAAACGCAGCTTTTGTTAAATATTTTTAATGTAACTAGCATGTCACCTTCTTCAGTACCTCCAGTGCAGCTTCCTGCCTATGGAACATTTTTAAATTGATCCCATTATCATTGTTCCAATAATCGATAACCTTAAAATATCGTCCATTGCTGGTGTCGATAATATTCACTCCGAATGTTTGAACAACACAACCTACCCCACTGTCAAAAATATTCATCCAATCGTTATATCTCGGTGTCCTCCCAGACGACTGAAAATTTGGGAAGGTGGTTCCGTTGCACAAAGGAGGTGATAAACATTGCCCTAACAACAATAGACCAGTTTCACTCTAGCATACAATGTAAAATACTTGAACATGTCATTTATTCTCAGCCTGTTAATTTTTCGGAGTCTAACATGGTTTTCAACGTGGCTCAATATAGATTGCGAAAATCATTTTCAAGCGAGACCCAGCTTTTACTATTTAGTAACGACTTGCACTCTGTTCTTGATAGGGTTCCCAGATAGACTGCGTATTTTCGTAATTCTCGAAGGCGTTCGATAAAGTCTCACATTAGTTGCTTTTGTTGAAACTAAACAATCTTCGCATTGATGCTAACGTTATGAATTTGATCCAATGCTTTCTTACTAACCGATTCCAGTTCGTTACCGCCAATAACCATACATCTCCGCTCGCGTCAGTGACCTCCGGCGTGCCTCATGGTTCTGTACTTATTTATCTGAGAGTTTACAAGGCCGTCTTTGAAGGCGTCTTCGAAGACGCGCTAGTAAACTCTCAGATAAATTCATCGCCGCCACCTAACGAATGTCGGCCTTCCATGAACCCAGGGTGTCTGATCTGTAAACAGATGCAGCACGCCAACACGGCCAGCAGGACGCACTCGCAGTTCTCGATCAAAATTAAAGGGCACTTAACATGTGCCTCGTCGAACGTCGCGTACTTACTCGAGTGTACCGTATGCAAAATGCAACCCTTAGCGAAAAGTCGTTCAAAATCAGTACACTCGAAGTGTACTGAAGTATACTAAAAGTATACTTTCAGTGCGGTCTTTGTACTGATTGTATACTTTAAGTGTACTTAAAGTATACTTCCAGTAAAAATGGCGGAGGACTGAAAGTATACTCGTCCGTACAAAACTAGTACATGTAGTAGAATCGTCGTGCCCACGGTAAAAAGTAGTTCAAAATTAGTATACAAGGAGTGCACTCAAGTGTACTAAAGGCTTACTTTCAGTGCTTGCAGTCGGCGTACTCAAATTATAGTAATGGGTATGTATATATATGTATAGATATATATAGTGCGGTTGTTAACATCAACACACTAAAAACGCGATAGGCCGATGCCGTTTTCATAGAATATTTGTGGGGCTCGGTGGACATTAGATGAGTAAATAAGCGTCACAGTATACGTTGTCTAATTAGCTTTTTTTAATTGACAGTGTAATTGACCATGTTGAATTTTCAATTTTAAAGGGGCTATGAATAAACTCTAGCCCAACTGAAACAATTTGCGAAAAGGTGACGAGTTTTGGGTTGTTCATAGCTATGAATAACCCCAAATAATCCGGTGTTTTTGTAATGCAGATCTCAGCGTAACTATGCGCTGTTTCAGATATCTGCATCCACAGCAATCAAAAAGACAGGAGGCAAAAGAAACCACGGCTAATAATGGGGACATAAGATCCTCCACCTTGCATGGTCGCATGCAGCGCAAATCAACTTCCGAACCGCGTAAGCGAAGTGATGTTATGAATGGAAGCTCGCTCTGAAATTGGCTGGAGAAATCGGCGCCTTTATGCAACAACCTCAAGCTTTCACCGAAAGTGTTTCATGGTGTAGATTTATCTTGCAAAACTCTAAGGACATCTCAATTCACGTGAAAAGGGATTGAGAATTGCAACAACGAACAACACCGTCGATCGAGATTTCCACACTGTAAAAAATCGACGTAAATTTAACGTGTCTTTCCCTCGTCAAAAAAGACGGGCACGCTCATTGTTTCAAAACGCGAGGTTGCCCTCATTATTTATGTGCCGCGAGAGCCGATCCTTCCAGAAAAGCCAAAATACCAGCGGTGCAAGCATGCGCTGATGAATCAAAATAGCCTTGGCGACAAGGGAGAAATGGCTTGAGATAGTTTCGGTTTTACACTGAAAAATAAAACCGAAAGTTTAGATAAATCCTAAGATAGACTAAACGGTTTGTTAATTTTTTACGAATATAATAAAGTAACATTATTATTATTAATATATTGATTTGCATAGTTTTGTC